ATCATAATGTTATGATATCATTATATAATATTATGATATACATTATATCATAATGTTATCATAACATTATGATATCATTGTATCATAACGTTATGATATCATTATCGATAATGATAACATCGTTATCATTATCGATAATGATGTTATCATTATCGATAATGATGACATCGATAATGATAACATCAATAATGATAACATCGGTGAATGTAACATCGATAATCATAATAGCAAATCACCCTAACATCAAACCGATATACTTGAAAAATAAAATATGCTGAAGTATGCCCAAGTTTGATGAATGTAACATCAGACTGCTCCATGCAGAAGTGTGCTATGATGTTGCCATTATCGGACTACCCTAAAAATGGACTACTTCAATATCTTATCCATTAGACCGCCCCACAAATGCCAATATTTTTTTAAAAAATATAAAACCCAGAAAAAATAGAGAAATATATAAAAGAAGTACCTCACCATAAAAATTTGAATATGGATCAATACTGAAATTTTTCTAGGTCTATGTCTGTAGAAAGAAAATATAGCTAAAAAATCCTAAGAATAAGGTAGATTTCCTTTTATAGAACAAGAAGTTAGAGGCTTTGTTCAGATAAAGAGAGAGAGAGAGAGAGAGAGAGAGAGAGAGAGACAGAGCCATGGAGGTGTCTAATGTTCTTCACATGAATGAAGGTTCAGGCAAGACAAGCTACGCTCAAAATTCCTTTCTTCAGGTTTTTCTTATTGCCCTTTTGAATTTGTTCATTGAAAACTCTCTATCTCACTCTTATCTGTAATGGGGCTCAACATATCGTAACAGAAACTACATTAGCCATGAAAATCTAGTAAAATCAGAAATCCACTGATAGTCTCTCTCTATATATATGCAGAAACGAGTTTTAGAGGCTGTTAAGCCTATAACAGAAGAGGCAGTGATGAAGATGCTTGCTTCCACCCATTACCCTAATATGTTAGGGATGGTGGACCTTGGTTGCTCCTCTGGCCCCAACACCTTCTCTGCTTTAACAACAATCACCCGAGTAGCGTCCGACGCATACCGGAAACTCTCTAAGCCATTGCCAGAGTTTCAGCTCTTTTTAAACGACCTCCCAGGGAATGACTTCAACTCGGTTTTCAAGGCACTGCATTCTTTCTATGAGAGTTTGAAAGAGGAAGGAGGAGGAGAGGTTTTTAAGTATTGTTTCATGGCTGGTGTTCCTGGTTCTTTCTTTGATAGGCTTTTCCCTGCTAATACTTTACACTTCGTTCACTCCTCTTATAGTGTCCATTGGCTCTCACAGGTACGCAACCAACCTCTCCCTCTCATTTTGTTTGTGCATAAGCGTACATAGAACATGTAGTCTCTACATACTATGAAAAACAATAAGTCCAAATGAATCTTAATTGAAATAGAGGAACATGAATAACTTCTGCTTGGATTTAAGGGTGGACATACGAGTTTTGGCGATGGAGGCCACATATTTGAACATGTGAGTTTGTTTCAAAAACGCAAATAAGCCGACCAAGCAATGGCAAATATATCGCTTTGGATGGGGAGGTCAAAGATTCCAACTTTTGAAATTTGTCCTAAAAAGCCCAAGCGCTTGTTTGAACTTCGGATGTACTCAAAATTGCAATTATTTTGAGATTGCAATCTAAAAAACTTATGAAATAGATTCGAAAGCGTAAGATTTTAGTAGATTTTTAAATTGAAATAAAAAATATTGTCAGCAAAAGTTATTCTAAAAAAAAATTTCAAATCAGACTTGAATTTTTTTTATGAAAGTACAGCTCTCTCACCTCGTGCAAACCCCACTTTGTGACCCAATAGCCCACACCGTGAAACCTCATAAACCCCAAATATATTCTCTCTAAACTACTTCAACCCGAAGTCTACTCTCTTTGAGCTACTGCTAGTGAGAGAGCTCATCTTTTTCTCTCCAGAACCAGTTATTAAGCTCCAATTTCTCTCTCTAGAACCAATCTCTCAAGAGCTCCTCTTTCGCTCTCTAGAGCCGATGTCTCGAAAGCTCCTCTTTCTCTCTCTAGAACCAATGCATTGAGAGCTCATCTTTCTCTCTCTAATGGCTAAAAAATATTGCATTGTGACCTGCCACATGAATGGGAGAAACAAGCTAGGGTTTCCAAGTATCTTGTATCGTTGTCTGATAAGGTTTCTAAGGCAGAGTCATGAGAAGAATAGAAATATGAGGGCTTCACAATTTTACAATCGAAGCATTATAAAAAGATTGTTTTGAGCTTCGATGAGGCCATCCATGGCGGGAGGTCAGAGCTTGCAGAAAGATTCCCAATATCATCTGGAGATTGTTCCAAAAATATTTGTTTTCGAAAAGCATCCTATTTTTACAAAAAAACAATCCTTTTTTAGAAAGCTCTCGTTTTTGCAAAAACAGTGGAGATCATTTGGAGCCTGCAAAAAGATTTCCGAAAACAATCCCAAATTTACTCTCTCTCTCTCTC